AGATGCTGATGCCTTAAAATCTCTTTTAAATAAAATATACAGGGGGGGGGGTATTTACTAAACTGGACAGAATCTGTAGCAGCTGTGCATAGTAACCAATCAGCTACTTTCTTGAGACTTGTCCAGTTAGGCCCCTTTCATGGGCTGATCAGGAGGGAATCTGTGCACGGGAACCCCCCCCCCGATCGGAGCGGTACGGATTGGATGTCACCGCTACGATCAATTTTTGTCTGTCCAAACTGGAGTCAGGGGTAACCGGGTGTAAACACGCCTGTCTGTTTTCACACGGCTGCCCATAGACTATCATTGGGCATCCAGTCGTGTCTGCCTGTAAAACTGACAGGTGGGCTCAATTGGACCACCCGTGTGAAAGGGGCCTTAAGCTTTGAAAATGAAAGCTAGACGCTGATTGGTTGCCATGCACGGCTGCTCCAGTCTTAGTAAAATCCCCTCTATGAATTTTCTTATTCAATGTGTCATGTTTTTTTCTGTGTTTTAGGTCAAGTTAAAATACCGCGTATTCATATTTTACAGTTGAAGTTCTCTGTTTTTGTCACCAGGGCAGGAAGTGAGGGAAGATTTCCCCAACAGAGACCAGGACAGCAATGAAAACCACCTTCACTTCTTGGTATGCTGGCTTTCTCTTCAGCAATAAAAACCCAACAGACATTCTAATCCTTCCCCCCTTTGCCAAAACATAACAACAAAAAACTGTTTAATCCATAAAGAATGCAGCAGATCGGAGTGGGAGGGGAGTAGTACCAGCAATAGAGATATAGGGGTTGATTTACTGAAGGCAAATAGGCTGTTCACTTTGCCTTTTCCTTAGCTTAGTGGATATGTTGAACATTCACTTTGCAAAGAAAGCCGATCACATGCAAGGAAGATTTAATAAAATACAGGATTTTTTCTTGCACATGATTGGATGATGGAAGTCAGCAGAGCTTCACCTCATTCACTAAACTAAGGGAAAATTCTCTTGCAAAGTTAATGGGCTAATTTAATAAAATGTACTCTTCCCAATACTATCAGGTCTATTCACTAAAGGGTGAGGAGTTTGGAGAAGGCAGGAGAAGTGAACAATCTAGGACAAAATAGCCGATTTGGAAACATTCTCCAATTCAGCTCACATTTCAGTTCAGCGATGTTGTCCTAGATTGTTCCCTTCTCCGGCCTTCTCCAAACTCCTCACACTTTTGTGAATAGACCCCTATGAGTCCGTGTCTGTGTGTGCCAATGCAGGTATCCCATGCAAAGTTCTCACCGCTCTGATTCTCCGGCTAATCCTTGTTGCCAAGATCCCATAGGTGCTAGCCAAATGGTGTTTCTTCACCTTCACCGAGACAGCCGTACTCCGCAGATCTACACATATACATCTAATCTTAATTTACATCCATGAAAGTGTATACACCGCAAATATGTACTCCAGTACAAGTGGAACCCGGTAACACGTTTTACCTACAGGGCTTAGTCATAGAGGATTGCAGGTGTCCCATGCCGGTGTTCTATCGAAAGCTCCAACTCATTAAAATCTCCAACTACCTCACTGCCGGTGTTCAGAAAGACTGGAGCTCTGTACTGTTGCGGTGCGCATGCGCGCATGGCGTTTTCAGAATACTCGTCGAGTTTGCTCCCTTCTGAATATTGTTAAAGTGCAGCTGTACAGAGCTCCGTCAGTCTTTGTGTTTTGCAGTCTAACGCCGTCTGGTCGAAATCTCCAACTTGCAAGTACCCGGCAGTGAGGTAGTTGGAGATTTTGACAAGTTGGAGCTGAGCAATCACGAACTGCTGATCACTCAGCCCACGGTCTTCTCCCTGCAGAGAGTGGTGACTGTACAGACAGGGGAGGGGCCAGGCACAGCTGGCCCTAGAGAGGCAGAGCCAGCTGTCAATCAGCCAGTGGGATGGATCCAGACAATAACTGGCGGGATCTTTCCCGACTGCAGTGCGGCTCTGCACTGTCACCATACAGCGGGCAGCATATGCTGAGTTTGGGTCACAGGGGTGTATTAATAAATATACTGCTGTTACCCAAAAGTAAAAAAACAGGTTTGGCCATAGTTCTCTTTCAACATAACAAGCCAGAGAGTGATTCAGCCTAGCAGTAGCCAGATATACTCTATGACTAAGCCCCAGGGAGCACGAAGCATGTAAGTGAAATCTATTCCTGTTGTATTTCCAATTGCCAACTAATGAGTGAATAAAGAATGCTTATTACGGAGTGCGCTCATCCATTTGTTGATTTTGGTTTTATCAATACCCAGGTGAACTGACGCCCATTTATTAAGTGGATAAAGGTGGACCGACCTGGAGCAGCGCGGTGTTTGGAGTATCCAGCTATACCCGAAACGGTTGTAGGTGAGTAAACATGGCTATAGAATGGTAGATGTCTCAATGAGCACTCCTGAGCCCATTGCCCTCCCTGGATGTGTTGCTGTGTCATGTACACACAGGAAAAGGCTGAAAATTGAATAATTGGCACTTCCTGACACAGCGGTCATCAGCACTTGTTATACAACCTCCCAACACGTCCAATGGTGGCTATCGATGTTCAGACGCGCAGTGCATTATGTTACCAAGAGGCAGGTCATGGACACTCTTAGGCTTTCTAACCGCGTAGCCAATTCAAACAAATGACATTCCGTAACCCCGGATCCTTTCCACCACGGAATGAAATTGCACCGGGTCTTGGTTGTTTGAGATCAGTGGTCACTTATATCCTAGACTGCCAAGCAGCAAAATGAGAAGCCGCCTGTGTAGCCTAAATATTAGTGTGAGACCCCCCTAATGTGCTGCGAGGGCAGCGAGACTCAGACGGCTCCCATTCAGAGTCATCAGGCTGCAAGTGCACAAGAGACCCAGGAGTCAGAGATAATGAATCAGATGTGACTGGCAGGGGGGGAGTCCCGGGGACCTGCTGTCTTCCCTAATGTCTCTTAAACTGCAATTCACACATAACCCCGGGGAAGGAGGGGGGGGGGAGGGCGAGAGAGAGACAGATGGGATCTATCTATAAACTCTTTATCTATGTTTCTATCTATCTATCATCTATCTATCTATCTATACATATGGTCTATCTGTGTCTCCATCTAAGCTCTAGCTATCTATCTATAAACTCTCTATCTATGTATCTATCTATCTATCTATCTATCTATCTATCTATCTATCTATCTATCCATCTATCTATCTATCTATCTATGTCTCCATCTAAGCTCTAGCTATCTATCTATAAGCTCTCTATCTATGTTTCTATCTAAGATCTCGCTATCTCTCTATCTATTTATCTATCTATCTATCTATCTATCTATCTATCTATCTATCTATCATCTCTATTTCACTCTTTCTTGCATATCTATCTATTGCACTCTCTTTCTCTATTCTCTTTCTGATATCTTTATTTTTCTCTATCTCTCTCATCTGTCTGTCTTCTATCTCTCTCTTTCTCTAGTCTGACTGTGTTCTTTCTTTCTTTCTTTCTTTCTTTCTTTCTTTCTTTCTTTCTTTCTTTCTTTCTT